TAGGGCGCTCGAGGAGTTTAGATGTAAATGGGAGCAGGTAGATGGGTCTGAGGTCGTTTGGGTCATTGGGGTCCAGGGAGGGCTTTTTAAGTATGGGGGTGATGTGTGCATGTTTCAGAGGGGAGGGGAAAGTGCCGGAGGAGAGGAAGAGATTGAAGATGTGGGTGAGGGAGCGTAGGATGGAGGGGGAGGGAGGTCGTAGGAGTTGTGAGGGGATAGGGTCGAGGGGGCAGGTGGTGAGGCGGACATCAGAGAAGACCTTGGAGACTTCCTCGATGGTAGTAAAGTCAAAGATGCGGAGTGTTGGGGGAGCTTCAGTATGAGGAATGTAGGGTGGGGTGGAAGTGGAGGTCAGAGCAGTGGTGGGGCCGTGGGAGAGGGGTGATGAGGGAGTAGGTGAATGAGGGGGAACGGGGTTGGAGGGAGTTTGAGCAGCGACGAAGTCCCTGCGGGCTATGTCGAGGGGGGAGGGGGAAGAGGGGGTAGCTGTGTGAGAGGGGACGGGTTGAGAGGGCGTGTGAGTTGTGGCAATGTCCTTGCGAATTGTGTCAATCTTGTTTTTGAAGTGAATGGCAATCTCAAGGGCAGTGAGTGAGGTGCTGGGTGGAGGTGGGGGTGGAGAGAGTAGAGAGTTGAAGGTGGAGAAGAGTCGGCGAGGATTGGAGGAGAGGGCCTTGATGAGGGTCAGGAAGTAGGCTTGTTGGGCTGCGTGGAGGGAGGAGGTGTAGGTGTGGAAGGCAGATTTGTAGCAGGTGAAGGCTTGTTGGGATTTGGTTTTGCGCCATAGTCGCTCTAGGGCACGACTGTGTCGTTTGAGGGTTTTGGTGTGATCAGTCTGCCAGGGCTGGAGCGGTCGGGGTCTGATGTTACGTGTGGTTAAAGGCGCTAGTAAGTCAAGGGCTGTTGACAGCGCGTTGTTGTAGGCAGTCATAGCCGAGTCAGGGCAGGACAGGGGAAGGATGCTGTCGTGAAGTTGATCAGCTGCAGAGTGGAGGGGGGGCAGGGTTAAGGTTGCGAAGGTTACGGCTGGTAGTAGTGTGACATTTGGAGGGGTAGGCGTTGGAGGATGAGGAGATAGAGAAGGTAATCAAGTTGTGGTCAGAGAGAGGGAAGGGGGTGTTAGTGAGGTTGTGGGGAACGCAGCGGTTGGAGAAGACAAGATCAAGGGTATTACCGTTGGAGTGGGTGGTGGACTGTATGCACTGTGCAAGTGCAAAGGAGGAGGTTAAGTGGAGGAGATGGGATGTGTCCGGGTTGTCGAGGTTGACAGGGATGTTGAAATCCCCAAGGATGATGGTGGGTAGCTCAGAGGAGAGGAGAGAAGGGTCATCCAGGAAGCGGGATATGGATCCAGGAGGCCGGTATATCACAGCAATCTTCAGGGGGGTTGGGGAGAATTGTCGGACGCAGTGGGCCTCGAAGAAGGAGAAGGATAGGGAGGGGGGGATTGGGAGGACTTGAAAGGTGCTCTGCAGTGACAGGAGCAGACCAACTCCACCACCTTTACGACTGTTAGGCCTGGGTGAGTGGGTCCAGGTGAGACCTCCGCAGGAGAGTGCAGCAGGGGAGGTAGAGTCAGTGGCCTGGATCCAGGTTTCCGTAATCGCTAGGAGGTTGAGGGAGCGGGAAACAAAGAGGTCGTGGATGGCGGTAAGCTTGTTGCACACCGATCGGGCGTTCAGGAGTGCACATGAAAATGGGGGGAAGATTTTAGGGAGCAGGGGGACAGATACTAAGTTGCGGGAGTTGCGGCGGGACGTGGAGGCGGGAGGGTGTTGTGAGGCAGGTGGTGGAGGGCCAGGAATCGGGGAGATGTCCCCGTGGTTAGGAGGAGGAGAAGGGTGAGAAAGGTGGCATGGGAGCGGGATGTGCAGGAGCGTGAGAAACTACTAGTGGAGGTGTTCGGGTCAGTGGGAGAGTGGAGTAATAGGAGGAGGTGGTGGCTGCCGTAGAGGGGTGAAGGAGGCAGTGAGGACACAATATACAATTGTTTGGAAGGAGCAGAGGGATATAGTAAATGGATTTTGGGAATGGAGGAGAGGAAGAGGCATTTTGGGGAGGTGATGAGAGCAATAGTAGGGAGATGATAGCAATGAGGGGGAGATGTACAAGTTTTTGGGGTGGAGCAGAGGGGTAAAGAAATGAGATTTGGGAACAGAGGATAGTAATATGATAAGGAGAAGAGGGGCGTATTATATAAAGGTACACGGAGTGGGACTCAGGCATGTAGGAGATGTTTCCCAGGGTGTTTGCTTGCAGTCTGTCCAGCGTGCAGTAGAGTTTCATGCTGTTGTTGTGTCTTCCTGCTGCTTAAGTTCTCCTGCTTTAGTTCAACTGCTGTGTGATCAACATATAAATACATCAGTGGTTCATATAGTGAATTTGGTGTTATTCCACTTTAAGATCATTAAAAAGGACAAGGGGGCACTCCTTGAGAATTGCTTGGATATAGCAAAGTATTTTGTTTTTAATTAAATTGAATCATTGCCTCTTCTGAGCAAAATGTGTTAATTATCTTTTGTTTCATATTCCAAAAAATACATAGTTTTATTATAAGTTTAAACAATAGATATCCAAACAGATATGGCTGGTACCAACATCCCTACACTTACACTATGGGGTTTATTTACTAAAGCTGGAGAGTCCAAAATCAGACTCCCTTCTGCATAGAAACCAATCAGCTTCTAACCTCAGCTTGTTCAATGAAGCTTTGGCAATGAAACCTGGAAGCTGATTGGTTTCTATGGCAGAAGGGAGTCTGATTTTGGACTCTCCAGCTTTAGTAAATGAACCCCTATGTGTCTTTGATTCATACCCAGAAATACAGAACTAGGACTATACAGAGACATGTACCTGATAAACTTAAAAAACTCCATTGTACTGTAGGGTTGAGGCTGCCAATGTATAACCAACATCTTTGCTACATCCAAGTGTGACATACTCCTGCATACATCTTTTTCTCTCACATTTGACTTATACTCATAACAATTTATACTAATATAAATATCCAAACATTTTTCTATTACTGTGTACTTGTAAACAAACGTTTGTTCTCTGTGATTTAAACCTTGTTCATGAAACGCGTAAATAAAAATTAAAGAGTAATGGAAAAATCTATGGATATCTTTGTTAAACATGAATGTTGTAAATGTGTTATTTATATAAATCAAATGTAATGACAAAAAATACAAGTGTACAGTATATCACAGTTGAAGGTAGCAAACAGTTTCTGTATACACTAACAGCCTCAACTTTACACAGTTAATGGAGTTTTTTAAAACTTGTTTTTGAAATAAATTATGTTTTTATAAGTTATCTCTATTTACCTTTAAAGTCCCACTTCTGTATTTTTTGGTATGATTTTATTATAAGTTTAAAAATAATAATAAAATAGCAAGCATTTAGGAGAATATTCTTGTATATATTCTTATTATTATTTTTTTTATTATTATATATTTATTATTATTATTATTATTATTATTCAAGATGTATATAGTGCCAACACCTTACACAGAGCTTTACAACATAAGGGCAGACAGAAGAGTTACAATATAATTCAATACATTAGGAATCAGAGGGCCCTGCTCGTTAGGGGCTTACAATCAAAGAGGGAGGGTCAAGAGATATAAAAGGTCATAACTGTGGTGTATGAGCTGATGGAGAAAGTGAAAATACAGTTGTTAGGTGGAGGCAGGATACACCTCTCCAGGGGCGGACTGACAACTCATGGGCCCCCAGGCAATAGGGAATCATGGGGCCCCTGTTTCTTGCCCAAACTCAAAAAAGCCTATGAAAAAAGGTACCGGGGCATCTCATGGGGCCCCCTACTGACCCGGGCCCTCGGGCAGTGCCTGAGTTTCCTAATGGTCAGTCCGCCCCTGCGCCTCTCTGAAGAGAAGGGTTTTCAGGGATTGTCTGGACAGAGTAGCAGATAGTCGGACACATTGGGGAAGGGAATTCCTACAATTAAACTTTTTTTATAGTGGTGATCATTCAAAAAAAAAATATTTGCAAACAAAGCAACAAATCTTATCTCTATGACCCAAAAGGAAAATACAGTTCCAATAAACTTCGAAGCACTCATGATTTTCATTATTGATAGGCTGAACATCCCCCTGTTTGGCTTGTGGTTGAACAATCAAACCGAACAAAAATTTGACTGCAAACTTTGAACTTGGATAATTCACTAAGCAGTATCTTACCACATCTGAGTATGTGGTAAGATGACACACAGCTACTAAAATACCTCACAAGCTATATTAAGTCATGCGGTATTTTTGTAGTGAAAACATTCTGTAATGTTTCAGCTGTCAGTGAGCTTCCCCACTGACAGTTGAATGTAAAAAGAATTGCCAACAATTCCCCCCTGTTTCATACCAAGCCCTTCGGATCTGGATGTATGAATTTTGAGGGGAATCCTTAGACAGTTTTTTTTTTAATGGCATGTGGTTCCCCCCAAAAATCCATACCAGACCCATACCCGAACATGCAGCCTGGCAGGTCAGGAAAGGGGAGGGGGGAGAGCGACTACCCCCCCCCCCCCCCCCCCCCCCCCACCCCCTGAACCATACCAGGTGACATGCCTACAATTTGGGAGGTGCTTTGGGGTGCCCCCCAAAGCACCTTGTCCCCATCAACATGGGGGCAAAGGCCTCTTACCCACAACTGTGGCTGGTGGTTGTGGGGGGCTGAGGGCGAGGGGCTTATCAGAATCCATATCCCAACCCCCTCTCATGTGAATAATAATTACATTGGTCCAAGCTGAACCAATGCTCCTATGTAAAAACTGCTATAAATGAAATTCTTCTTAATTTTGATCCTATTTCTCATTGATCCAGCTCATGAAAGAGTTTCTTTAAGAGAATTAATAGTGAATGCCTGAATGCCATTTTGATTTATTAACAATATTTGTTAATGCTTTCCAAATGTCCTTGTTCCTCAAGCTATATATGATGGGGTTAAGGGATGGTGTCACAACAGCATACATCATGGTAAGAATTTTATTCATAGTCAGCGAGTGCAGTGAGGCTGGAAAATATGTATGCCACTATCACTGTCCCATAATAAAGACACACAGCAGTCAGGTGGGAGCTGCAGGTGAAGAAGGCCTTTTGTCTTCCTGAAAGCGATAAAATATTCAAAATGGATTTAACAATAAAGACGTATGATATCCCAATGACCAGGAACGGGAATACCACTGCTGGGACAGTCAACAACTTGGTTTCCATTTGAATAAAAGAGACATCTGAACATGAAAGATCCAATATAGGAGCAAGGTCACAGAAGAAATGGTCTATGATGTTTGGGCCACAGAAATGTAAGCTACTTATACTTACAGATAAAACAAGAGAATATAAAAAACTTGGTGTCCAAGCCAATATGGACAGTTTCTGGCAAATCCCACTGCCCATTATTGAAGCATAATGCAGTGGATTACAGATGGCCAAATATCGGTCATAAGACATCACTGTCAGAAGAAGACACTCTGAGCCTTCTGAAATAACAAAGAAAATAAATTGAATGACACATCCTGCTAAAGACATGGTTCCTCCTTCCTTGAGGACAACATAAAGTGTGCTTGGAACGCTGTCAATGCTCAGTAAGATGTCACATAGTGAAAGCTGCAAGAGAAATAAGTACATGGGAGATTTGAGGGTCTTGCTGTAAGACACCAGAATGATAATTAAGGCATTCCCACATAACGAAACACAAAAAGCCAAAAGCAACACACAGAAGAGTAAAAACTTGTAACTATGGAGATTCTGAAATCCAATAACAAGGACTGTGGTGACATTGTTCTTTCTCTCCATCAAAACGTTAATGGAATGCTAAAATCAGAAGGTTTACAGTTACATTAGTATGGATTCATTATTATTTTTAAATAATCATTCCTTCCATTTTCATTCTGAAGCATGCACATCATGATAATGAGGGTCAGGGGCGGACTGACAACTCATGGGGGCCCCGGGCAATTGGGGATCATGGGGCCCCTGTGTCCTTGCCCAAACTCAAAAAAGCCTATGAAAAAGGTACCCCTGGAATCTCATGGGGCCCCCTACTGACCCCGGGCCCTCTGGCAGTGCCCGAGTTTCCAAATGGTCAGTTCGCCCCTGATGTGGGTGGATCCCAATTGATTTACTCGACTAGTTCCTTGGTGGTAACCAGCAGATCTAATAACAACATTTCATTTCATGGAACAAGTCTCTTTGCATATAAGGGGCGGGGCCTGAACATGGCGGCAGGGGAGACCTCAATGTAGGAGCTCGTGGACGGAACTCCGCTGTCTGACCTCCCCAGGCCTCCAAGCTATCCCCTGGGGCATGTTAGAGCCCTACGGTGGGGGACTTACCCGGTCTGACGGCTCCCGGTGGAGGAGAGGTTGATACGGGTGAGGGAAGAGAGAGGAGCGGCTGGAGACTAGTGAAGAGAGAGTCCCTGGACGCTGGGAGACGAGAGGGGCCGGCGCCATCACATGACCGGCTGCAAGGCACCACTGAGAGATCGGGAAGCCGGCCGGCCGGCGTTTTGCAGTGAGAGAGCAACGCCGACCTGTTTACCGGTGGCCGACACACTCTCCCCCTATCCCCCTAGTAATCCCTGGAGCCTAAAAGAAAGAGGAAGGAGAACTATCGAGACCTGGACAAGGAGTCTGAAGAGACCCTGGGGAGTTCCCCTCCATGAATAGACCCTCAGAGGAATTGAGTGAAAAGGCACTCATTGGAAGAGGACATAGGAGGAGGGTGAGTGACTATGAATGAAATGTGATTTGCATATGAAGACCTATGGTGCTGACCCCCAAGAAATAGAGTGTAAGTGAAAGGGGGGACCCCTGGAGACTGTATAAAAGGTGGAAGAGGCTCACAGAGAGAAGAAGAGAGGCTTAAGGGGAAGGAGGGGGAGAGGAGGGAAGGAACAAGAGGAAGAAAAAAGAAAAAGGAAAACCAGCAGGGGGACAGGGCAGAGACTTGAAAGTTTAAAGAAATATTTTTTCCACCCCACCCACGAACTTACTAAGGACTATAAGAAGGATAAATGCCATAGAGAAAAATGAAAAACAAAAATGTAAAAGGAAGCGGGCTTAAAGGGTCCCAGACTGGTACAATTAAAAAATACACACATCCCAAGGAAACGTAACCCCAGAAAGACCCCAGAGCAGAACTGAAAAAGGAGAAACAGATCTTAGTATGGAAAGAAGCCCTAGAGTATCAATAGGCCCTGATACTAATTAGCAAATATCAGGCAATACAGAGATGGAAAAAGATCTACAAATACCTAATAAAAAGGAAATGGCAGAAATGTTTAAAGAACTGGAGAAAACAATAAAACAAGAAATGGTAAACATTCGCAGTGATCTGGGACACCTGTTGGAGAGAGTTGAGGAAACGGAGGAGAAAGTTAAAGGTCAGACCCAGGCTATCTCTGAACTTGAAAAAAGAACTAACTAATATAGGGAAAGCCCAAGAAAAACTGTTATATAAGGCTGACATACAAGAAAATAAAGACAGGGAGAGAAACATCTTGATACGTGGGGGTCCCAGAAAACTTAAAGGGAGAAAATCTGCAAGAGGTGGTTTGTAAAATATTTAACACTATAACAGACAGCTCTGAAATTGAAAGGTCTAAAACAGAAGGAACCTTTAGAAAAGGAAAAATTCTGAGAAATCTGGGGAAAGAAAGGCCGAGAGATATAATTGTTAAATTCTATGAACTTCGGGACAAAGAAAAAATCTGGAAGAAGACTAAGGGAAAAATCAGTAATTAAGTATGAAGGAGGAGACATACAGATATATGCGGATCTGGCTCCAGAGACTTTGTGGAGAAGGAGAACTTTGAGACGCCTATTGGAAAGGTTGAAAGAACAAAAGGTGCAATATAGATGGGGGACTCCCGAATGTTTAATAGGAAGGAAAAATGGGACTACAGCATACCTCAGGTTTCCAGAAGATATGAAAATTTTTTGTGACAGTTTAAAAATTCAAAGAATGGAAATCCCTGGCTGGGAAGAAGAACAATGGGAAAATAGAGCGAAGAGAAAAGAGGACTGGCAATATGTGGGGGGGAGGAGGTGGAGGGGAGGGGAGGGGGGGGAGAGGGATGGAGGAAGAGAAATATTTTTTTTTTTTCTCTTCTTTCTTTTCTCTTCTTCTCTCCCCTATCTCCTTCCATCCCCACTCTATCGCCCTCGTTTTTGATTTTTTTTTTCCTGTGCCTGTGATAAACCCAGGTGGGGGCCTGGGGAGGTTATGGGGAGGTTAGACAAGGGGAAAGTCGTCCATGGACGGAGTCTTAGCCCAAGGACCAAATCAAAAGTGGACTTTTTAATCCATAAATGATTAGTAGGCAAATGTTAGGCCTAAAAAGAGGGGGGAGGGGGGGGGGAGGGAGGGGGTTGGAAGAGTGGGAAATGGGAGAGGGGGGGTTGTTTTCCTGCAATATAAAAGACGATATAAAAGCAAGTGAGAAGGGAGAAGGAGAGAGAAATGAAAAATATAGATGGAGGAGAAAAGAGGAAATCTAAGGAAGATGGAAGAGATTCAGTTTATAACATATAATATAAATGGGTTGAACAGCCCCGGGAAAAGATATAGATTATTTAAAGAACTACACCATAGAGATGCCTCAGTGATATTTCTACAGGAGACACATCTTGAGATAAGTTCAAATGTTAGGCTGAGGTCTAGAAACCACCCAACATGGTACTATGCAGATTCCCCTGTTAAAAGAGCAAAAGGGATAGCAATAGGTCTGGCAAAGAACATTAGGTTTGAGTTGGAAGATAGAAAAACAGATCTAGATGGGAGATTTTTGTTTTTAAGGGGTAAGTTACAGGAGATCGAGTGTACACTGGCCAATATCTACTGTCCTAATAAAAAACCGGAGGAGTATCTGAAAAAAGTGTTGAGGAAGTTGATAGACTTTAAAAAAGGAAGTTTTTGATCCTGGCAGGGGACTTTAACTTTTGTATGGACCCACAAAGGGACGCCACCTCCCATATAAAGACAGAAGGAAGTAGGGCCCTGAAATTATTTGAAAAAAGAATTACACATAAGTCAATTGGTAGATGCCTGGGAGAATTACACACACGCAAGATAGAGATTATACTTTTTTCTCAAATATGCATAAGAGATATTCAAGACTAGATCATATATTAATAGAACATCAATTAATTGACCACCTGACCCAGGTAGAAATAGAGAAAATATCTTTATCAGATCACGCCCCAGTTACTATGAAAATGTAATGGGGGAGGAGGAAAATCGGAGGGCTGGGTAATGGAAATTGAATGAGACACTTTTAGTGGAAAAGGAAATAGCTCAGAAAATAGGGGAGGAGATCGAACGCTTTTTTAAGGAGAATGAGACAGGGGAGGTGTCAACGGCCACAGTGTGGGAGTCTCACAAAGCTTATATAAGAGGAATATTAATGGGGATTGGGGCAAGAAAGAAAAAAGAAAGAAGGGGAGAAAATGAATGAGCTCTTAGAAGAAATAGGTAAATTAGAAGAACAAATACATAAGAATAGAATAACAAAAGAAATAGAGCTGAAGTTTAAAAAAAACAGAAAGAAGAACTGAAAGAAATGATAGAAGAGGAGAGGAGAAAAGTATATAATAGAGTTTTAAGTGAGAGATATAGATGGGGAGAAAGACCTGGAAAGTATCTGATGAGAGCCCTCAGAAAAAGAAAAATAGAAATTATATAGAAAAAATAAAAGATGCTAAAGGAAACATGAAACACTCAAATAAAGATATCATCAAAGCCTTTATAGAATATTACAGGAAACTGTACAATATAAGCCCCTTGGAAGGTTCAGAAACTATAGGACAGTGAGAAGAACCAGAAAAGAAAGAAATATTTGGAAACGGCTGGGTTACTAAAACTAAGTGAGGATCAACTAAACTCCCTAGATGCAGATATCTCACAGGAAGAAATTAAAATTAGCATTGAAAGGGACAGTGTCGGGGAAAAGTCCAGGACCAGATGGTTATACAGTGAGATACTATAAAAAATTTAGTGAAATCTTAGTACCCAAAACTCAAAAACTACATGAATGCACTAGGTGGAGAGATGGAAGTAAGAAGAGAATCATTACAAGCCCAACTCGTGCTCATTCAAAAAAGAGGGAAAAGATCCCTCTCTCAGTGTTCGAGCTATAGACCTATTTCACTATTGAACACAGACACTAAGTTGTATGCAAAGGTCCTAGCAAATAGATTGAAAGAGCTAATGCCTGGATGGATACATGAGGATCAGGTGGGCTTTGTTCCAGGGAGGGAGGGAAAAGACAATGGGGTACGATCATTGATGCTAATCCAAAAGAGTAAAAAGGGGAAAAGAACCGGTGGTACTACTGTCTATAGATGCTGAAAAAGCGTTTGATAGGGTGAATGGAGATTCATGATGGATACTCTGGAAGCCCTGGGAATCGGGCCTAGGATGAGAGAGTGGATAGGAAAGTTGTACAGATACCCCTCGGTGGTTATTGGGGGTAAAACGGGGAGAGGTCAGAACCCATTGAGATGTCAAACGGAACAAGACAGGGATGCCCATTGTCCCCATTTGCTGTATGTTATATCATTAGAACCATTATTGTCAACAATAAGGCTGAATAGAGACGTAAAGGGAATCCTGATAGGAGATACAGAACATAAAGTTGCTGCTTTCGCAGACGACTTGTTGTTCTATGTAGAAAATCCCAGGATAACACTTCCAAACTTAATGAAGTCACTAAAGGAGTATGGAGAGAACTATCAAATTTAAAGATAAATCCAACAAAAACGGAGATTCTAAATATAAACATCTTAAAAAACGAAAAAGAAAAGATACAAAAGGAATTTCCCTTTAAATGGAAAGACAGAGATATAAAATACCTAGGAGTAAAAACTTACAGCCTCACACAAACATCTATATAAACTAAAACTATATTTCATTGATTAATGAGATTAGAGACGAGTTAAAAAGATTGGAGGGAGGAACCCCGACATGGATGGGCCGTATTAATCTGGTAAAAATGGTAATAGTGCCAAAAATTATATATAGATATCAAATGATCCCAATTAAAACTCCCAGAGATTTTCTTTAAAATAATTAAGAAATTGATAACAAGATACATATGGAGGAATAAAAAAACAAGACTGTCATACGAACTGTTAAGTAGGAGGAAAGAAAGAGGGGGTTTAGGGCTCCCAGACTTTAAAAGATATTTACAAAGCGGTAAAGTGGCAAGAACCATAGACTGGATATTTAATTATAAAAAAAAGCTGGGTGAGAATAGAGAATGAACTCAGCGGAATAGACTTGGGAAGAATGATATGGGTGCCAACACAGTATAGGGGTTTAAATGATAATGTAAATACATACACTTTGAATGTTTTAAAGATTTGGGACAATTTACACAGAAGTATGAAATGGACTTTTAATTCCACACTGATTCCACTAAAAAAAACACAGAGTTTTTTCCCCAGGCAGAGAAGAAATAGGAGGGAAGTGGTTTAAAAAAGATAAGGTGCAATTAGGAGATATTTTGGTGGGAGATGAAATAGGAGCATTTGGCGAATTGAAAAAAAAAGAGGGAGAGATTTTCACTAAATTAGACGAATGGCGGTATTTCCAATTGAGGTGTTTTGTTGGAAGTTTGCCAAGACCTTTAAGGACAAGAGACAATTGGAACTTGTTCGAAAAGATATTGGGAACACAAGGTGATGGGAAACACGGGATTGCTAGAGTTTATAAAATACTCACTGAACTAGACACAAACACAAAGCCAACATATATAACAAAATGGGAAATGGATATGGGAGTTGTGATAGATGAGGAAAAGCAGAGGAGAATGTATAGATTAACTCACGAAAATGTCTCTATGAGAGAAGTAGAGATGAACTATAAGTGTTTGACAAGATGGCACATTTCACCAACAGTAGAAAATAAGATGTGTGGAGAGAGTTCACATGTGTGCAGAGAGTACACCGTTGTGTTGGAGGGGATGTGGAGAAATAGGCACAATATACCATATATGGTGGGGATGCCCAAAAATCCAGATATTCTGGAAAACAATAATCCACTTAATAAGAAAATTGACAGAAATAGACATACATTTAGATCCAGAAGTATGTATATTGCATATCACGGATATAACGGTAAATAAATATAAAAAATCAGGGATATGGTACTATATAAATGCTGCAAAAGTCCTGATACCCAAGTTCTGGCGGCGAAGAGGCACCAAAGTAAGAGGACTGGATTGAAAGAGTCGAGCAGATTAAAAAAAGATGGAAAGGTTGTGCCATACCTAAGAAGATAAGATGGAGGCTTACTATGGGAAATGGGAGAACTGGGAAAAAGCTAGATTATATATGAAGTATAGGAAAGAATAAAGAAAACAACAGAAAAATTTCACTTGCTGATATAAGAAGACGCAGAGAAAAAGGTAGAATAGGCAGAGGGGACATGGGGTGGGGGGGGGGGGGGGGGAGGTGGGTGGGAAAGGTAGCATAAAGTATATAAAGTAGAAATGTTGGTTAATATAATATTATAGAATATATTTTTATATATATATATATTTATATTGTGATGATGAAATGTAATTAAAATGGAAAATTAATATATATTTAAATTAAAAAAAAAAGTCTCTTTGCATATATATACACTATATTGCAGTGGCGACATGTTCTCTGGAGAGAGACAAATAACGCTTCTCTGTGGCAATCCGATGGGCGTGTCTGAGTTTGGTGGTTGCCAGGAGAACAGTACTTGCCTGACTGCATTGTGCCAAGTGTAAAGTTTGGTGGAGGGGGGATTATGATGTGGGGTTGTTTTTCAGTGGTTGGGCGTGGCCCCCTTAGTTCCAGTGAAGGGAACTATTAACCTCCTTGGCGGTATTCCCGAGTGTAGCTCGTGGTAACATTTCAGTACCACAAACGGTAACCCCGAGCTACACTCGGGAATACCATGCGGCACCGCTCCGGCATTTGTTCTTCACTTACCTTACCCTGCGCTCCCGCGATGTCCCCCCTGCAGCGTCCCCGGCCATCTCCTCGGCCGATGCCGGCATCCGGCTTCTGTGTCCTGTCCCTGTGACGTCGGGACGTAACGGGCGCCGCTGGCGGCGGGAAATTTAAAAATTTTAAAAAAACGTCTTTTTTTTTTTTTACATTTTACATAGTAAAACGTTGCTGTCTCAACCAATTTCACATACATTTTGTCCCTAGTGCTTTGTCCGGCGCCCTGCCTGCATTTTGTCTGTTCTTTCTGCCTGGAAACTGAGAAATGTCCATGGCGTCCAAAAAGCGTCCCTTTAGGTCAAAAGCGGTTTTAGACCGGCTAGAGAACAGCGATAGTAAATCAGAACCACTTGCAGAATTGAGTGATAATGATTCGTGGGGGAAATTCGTCATCAGACACTGAAAACGATTCTGCGACTTTGCTCAGCGATGTGCGAACTTGGCGCTCTATTTCACATTTCAGTGTTTTTGGTTTGATTATATTATTGAATTAAATTTTATTATTATTATATTATTATTTTTTATGATTATTTATTAAATTATAATTTATGATTTCGTGTTTCAAATTTTATCATACCCGGGATGTTTACTAGACTCTTGTTCGGACAGATTTCAGTGAGTTATTCCTAAGAATTACAGGCCTACAATAAAAAACTACATATTTCCATGCAAAAAAATGGTACCGCTTTCAGCACCAAAAATCGGAAAGAATCATACCGCCAGGGAGGTTAAAGCATCAGCATACCAAGACATTTTTGGACAATTTCATGCTCCCAACTTTGTGGGAAGAGTTTGGGGATGGCCCCTTCATGTTCCAACATGACTGTGCAACAGTGCACAAAGCAAGGTCCATAAAGACATGGAGGAGCCAGTTTGGGGTGGAGGAACTTGATACAGAGTCCTGACCTCATTTGTGAAGGTCCAGCGGTGATTCGTAAGGGGAAGAGTGCACAGAGGAGCAAGTTATGTGTTACCACCACTAATAGGGGAGATGCTTTGTTTGACCGGTGTCCACATACAGGTCCATGCGAGAAGGTGAGTCCACCTGGAAGTTTATGTTCACGGCGGTGATTCACATGTATTGAAGATTTACAGCACTGGAATTTTGGGCGCAATCACCAGCAAGAAGATTTTTCACTTATTTGGATTTTTTTGAAGAATTGCATTTATTTTAATGTTTGACCATCTTTTGGGAACAATCGGTCACGTTTTTGTTTTCTATATCTACATGTATTGATTCATGCTAGCAGCGCAACACTTTCATTTGTTTTAGTCTGTTTTTCATGTTTACACACATAACACATGTTTGCAGCAGCTCATCTACTATTATGGGGCAGCACAGTGGCTAAATGGTTAGCACGTCCGCCTGGCAGTACTAGGGTCGTTGGCTTGAATCCCAGCCACGGCACCTCCTGCCTGGAGTTTGCATGTTCTCCCTGTGCCTGCGTGGGTTTCCTCTGGGTACTCCAGTTTCCTCCGACACTCCAAAGACATGCTGGTAGGTTAATTGGCTCCTGTGTAAATTGTCCCTAGTATGTGTATGTATGAGTGTGAGTTAGGGACCTTAGATTGTACACCCTTGAGGGTTAGGGACTGATGTGAATGTACAATATATATGTAAAGCGCTGCGTTAAATTGACAGCGATATATAAGTACCTATATAAGTAATAAATAAATAAATGTTCTCATTATTTGGCAACGCACGATTTTCTTTTGCCTTTAACGTTCTATGTTATACCATTGGTGAGCCCAGGAGCAAAAAAAAGCAAAATTTATTAGATAAGGTGGTCAGAACAAGGATAGCCAGCTCTTTTGAATGATAACAAAACGGCCATAATGTTATGACTTCTAGATTCTCCATTCTAAGCATTTATCCTAAATTAGCAAAAGAATGCAATGATTATCTATAAACATAATTGTACCTAAGCAATATTGTACTATGTAGAAGAACAACCTAAAAAATATTTTTATTTTTTTTGCCTTCCTCTGGATCAACTGTAGGTATAGGATTATAACTTTTTTTTTTTTTTTTATGGTTGAACTGGATGGACTTTTGTGTTTTTTCAGCCAGACTAACTATGTATACAAAAAATCACCAGCGCCAAAAAATCGTGAAATAATTCCTAAGTAAATGCTGCTGCTCATTAGTGTAAACACCAAGAAAATATATAAAACATCAAACAGTGCAAATAAAATACAATAAATATTAAATGAAAGAAATAAACCAAAAAAACTTATATTGCAAAAAAAATTCAAAAAAAGGAAAAAATTATATAAATGAAATAGAATAGTCCCACTACAAATTATTAAAAAGAATAAGGTGAATGAAATGTACCGTATTTTTTGCACCATAAGACGCACTTTTTTCCCCCCAAAAAAGGGGGGAAAATGTCAGTGCGTCTTATGGAGCGAATATGGAGCGGCCGGTCCGGTATTTCCACCGCCGCCGTGCAGAATACCGGGCCGGCCGCTCAGCTCTACAGCGGGACCTTATAGAGATGACTGCTGACCTTTGGGGGGAGGGGGGGGAGCGGGTACCTGAATTTGACAGGTACCCGCTCCCATTTCCGTGGAGTTGTTCTTTCATCTTACCCGTTCCTCTATCCAGCGGCGCGGTCTTCCCGGCTTCTGTAGTGTGGGCATGACAGCCGGGTGCCAAGTGCGCATGCGCAGGAAGCGGTGCTTTTTGTGAATGGTAAGGCGGCACCTGGGACACATTTACTGTGTCCGCAGTCTCTGGTAATCTCCTGTACTGTGTCCGCAGTCTCTGGTCATCCCTGTGCTGTCCGCAGTCTCTGGTCATCTCCTGTACTGTGTCCGCAGTCTCTGGTCATCCCTGCACTGTGTCCGCAGTCTCTGGTCATCTCCTGTACTGTGGCCGCAGTCTCTGGTCATCCCCTGAACTGTGTCCGCAGTCTCTGGTCATCTCCTGTACTGTGTCCGCAGTCTCTGGTCATCTCCTGTACTATGTCTGCAGTCCATTAGTTCAGAATTTTTTTTTCCTGTTTTCTGCCTCTAAAACCTAGGTGTGTCTTATGGTCAGGTGTGTCTTATGGAGCGAAAAATACGGTAATTGAAAAGTCCTTCTCCAAAGAGGCTTTGATCCGTGTTGACACCATGATAGTGCTCAGACTACATACCGCACTCACCAGATATTGGTGAAAAAAACGCCTTTTTCTTGTTCAAACATTTTTATTAACAAGAGAGAAAACTTTAACAACACAACCAAGGAGACTTTGTTGATATAGATTGGACATTGAAGAGGCGGTAGGACAATGAAGAAAAATGAATGAGGATGTCTATACAATTACAGATGTCTATACAATTCTAGCAAAAGCAGGAACATAAGAGTCGGCAATAGATGACATTATCGTCCCAGCCAATCAAAGTAACGTCTCCTAAGTGCATTTAAGAAGTAGGGGGAAGTTTGGAGGGGGATCAGACGGGGGAGGAAGGGAAGGTATGGGAAAAGGAACAATAACAATGACTTCATGAACAATCAACTCGTTTACAGCAGACTCTACGTATTGCCTATGAAGGACTATTGACAGTATCCTGGGCACACAGTATAGAAATCAAGGGAGAAGGAGTGATTCATCAAAGTTAGGCGGGAGGAAGCGCTCTACCCAGGGGTTCCATATGTGCAAAAATTTAGGGATCGTGTCTAGAATTGTGGCTTCCACCTTTGCATGTATCATGGCTTGTGTTATTCTGTTTTGGAAAAAAAAAAAACGCCTTTTTTAGGGGTTTTTTTTTTGGGGGGGATCCTAGACCCGATCAATACAGCCTCCAATCACCGGGTTTAACATGGACTTCCCCCACTCCAGGTCGGATATAAGCCTTAGACCTCCAAAACGTGATTTAAACCAGCCTCCAACCTCCAGAATCAACAGAAATCACTCACCAGAAGTGACGTATGGACGCATTTCTGGCTTCACTGTCCAGCGTACCACGTCACTTCTGATGAGTGATTTCTATTGATCCTGGAGGTTGGAGGCTGGTTTATATCACGTTTTGGAGGTCTAAGGCTTATATCCTACCTGGAGTGGGGGGAAGTCCATGTTAAACCCGGTGATTGGAGGCTGTATTGATTGGGTCTAGGATCCCAAAAAAAAAAAACAAAAAACCAATATCTGGTGAGTGCGGTATGTAGTCTGAGCACTATCATGGTGTCAACACGGATCAAAGGCTCTTTGGAGAGGGACTTTTCAATTATATTTCATTCACCTTATTCTTTTTAATAATTTGTAGATCCCGCCAACCTCCATTAGCATAAGTCTTACATTTTTAACACCGGCGTCCTTCAAAAACCTTACATTTTCTGCTGTATTTGATGCCTGTCCTGTAGAATCCATTTCATTATCTTTATATTTCATTTTTTTTTTTTTTAATTTTAATACTACAAAAAAAAATGTCCTCACTTTTACTAAATGATGCCTATTTAATACATTTGGGGGAGACTTTTTTAGCAACCGAATACAAAAAGCATAATAGAAAACAATCCAAACCGTACAAATAAACAAAGATCAGCTATTAGCTTACATAATATATTGCCAAAAAAGCATCCAGAAACATCTGATTGTCTGCTAGGAAAGGCTTCCTTTTATTACAGAGACAATACTCTGTAGGCTTGATACAGAGTTCATGATTATCCCAATGGTAAATGTCCCAGAAGACAGAGAAACATTCACACGGTGCTTTGTGGTTTGTTGTACAAAGCAAAAAATGAAGACTATACCTTTAGCATAACACAATCTAATAATTGTTTGAAGAATGGAATGAAGGAAAATGTTTATAATTACATTTTACTATTGAATCCTAAAATTCTGCTCAAGTTCGGTAAAGAGTTGCTCATTGTTTATTCTCTCATATCTAGCGATTCCCCCTTATACAACAGTGCAGGGGCGGACTGACCATTCAAGCACTCAGGCACTACACAAGGGCCCGGGGTCATTAGGGGGCTCCATGAGATGCCCCTGGTACCTTTCATTAGCTTTTTTCATAGGCTTTTTTGGGTGTGGGCGAGGACACAGGGGCCCCCATGATCCCCCTATTCCCCGGGGGCCCGTGAGTTGTCAGTCCGTCCCTGACACAATGGATATAAAAAGTCTACACCCCATATACTGATCTCCATGTATAATACATAAGGGGGGGATATGATCTCCAGTATAATACATAAGGGGGGGT